TCACTACCCACTAAAATCTCACGCACACTAGGTTCCATAGATCACTACGGTCAAAGACCACGCACTAGCTAATAATGTGTGGAAATATGCCAATCCGGACTAATCCGCACCGATTACCCCGCCTCAGGAACCAGTTAAACCACAGATATCTAATGTAATCAGAAACCCTACTAATACATATATATCTAATCTTCCTAAATAGCCACTCAGGCTTATCGACCTTACGTCTAACTAATTAGCTATCTATAAGATACTACTAAGTGAATACGAATCGTCAAGATTAGACTACTTTCGGTACCTACGATCCATTGAATCTCTTAAGCAAGGTATTCGATCCTCTCTCACACTAGAAGGACGTTAAATCGTTAATAGCCTATCAGCACACGAAGCTATAGTTAAACTACGTGCTACCTTTGCCCTATCCGACTAATCGAAGAATCGTTAAATCCTACGCGATTGGGATAAGCTAAAACGACAAGCTCTACCAACCAAATTATCTTAACTACCTACATAGGGTCAAAAGTGGCTAATTAGCTAATCGGAAGGCGAGAAAGCAGCAATTGCCTACTTCCAAGATCCTCTATCTCCAGTATACGATTTCCTAGAGACTATCTAACCTAGTGACTAGGGCTTCTACACCTTCTAGTATAATACGATCCTATAGGGTCTAAAGAAACCTACCCTGACCGAACTAGTTAATCAATTCGTCGACTAGTACCGACTACCTACCACACTAATCAGTAGTGGTAGAAGACGACCTATCGCCTATATAACCTACTAAGGACGTCAACCTAACGAATCAGACGAAGAAGGGCCTACACAATCAACTAGAAGAAGGAAGTGCCCTTATAGGGGTATACCTAACGCTAGTAACCACGATTTTAAGACGTGTCGCTATGTGAATCCTAAGGCAAGACCTAGGGGATAGCAACCTGACCTAGAGGTCTAAGAGCGATTTGAAAAGCGATACGATGAATCTAGAGGATTCAAGATAGCCTATCAGCATACAATTCGACGTTACCAACCGGCTAATTTAACTAATTCGACTAATTCGACCAATTCGACCAATTCGACCAATTCGACTACTAGAGACGCTTTCTCTACCTATATACCAAAACAATAGGTCGAGACTCTCTTTCGAGAGGAAGATAGTGTTGCGATAAGCAAAATCAGAATCCCTACTAAGAAGAACGACACCTAGTACTATAATACCGGAGCATCAATTCATGTCACGAATAATAGGGACCTACTGTTAAATTATAGGCCCGTTATGTCCTCTTTTATAGTTAGAAACACCGAAACCACCATCCTTAGTTATAGTGAACTGTCCGTTAAACCATCAGAATCTCTTGATGGAACCACTTTCCCTTTGAAACAAGTTACCTATTATCCTGGATTCTATATCAACCTAATCTCTGCAGAAAGAGCTACTAGCGTAGGCATCTATCTAAATGGCAAGGATTACCTACTAGAAGAGAAGGACGGAAGACCTATCTACAAGCTCAACGCGAAATCAGGTATCTACCTAATTCGATAGGATAATTCAACCACTGACCGACCTACTACCAACCACGCTCATGTTTTATCTACCTCTCACTTATCTCTTACTTCTGTCTCACACGATCAAGTTGCACCTATCACTGAGCAATTCAGCAAGGTTGCCCTATCTTCACACACCAACAAGCACCTAGATAGGACAATCGACCTATGGCATAGACGACTAGGACACGTTAGCAAGGACGTCCTATCTCATCTACCAGAGCACTCATCAGGCATCACCATCAAAGATATATCTTCGCCTATCAACCACTGCGAGACATACAAACTAGCTAATTCGCATCGTCAAATCTCTCGACGACCTATACAGTACAATCGCCCTTTCGAATCTCTGCATTGGGATCTTATACACTTCGAACCATCCTTAGGCAGAACGACCTACCTATCTCACTCTATAGACCCTATCACTAAATACCAACTGGCAGAAGATCTATCTACCAAGACCGATTCGACCTAATCTCTCTGCGACCAGATCGATTTCGTACAACACTAATTCAACCTACGCGTCCTCACTATCCATTCAGATAACGAGAGATCTCTATCTGAATTCTTCGATCAAGAAGCACAATCACGTGGTATCTATCTAGAAACCACACCGCCCTACCAACCTAACCAAAACGGCTACGCTAAGCGTTATAGCGCATTGATTTCAAAGATGGCTAGGCAGATAATTATCGATTCAAACCTACTAAGCTATCTCTGGCATGAAGCAGCTAGAACTGCCGTCTATATTCAAAACCGCCTACCTCACCGCACACTAGATTAGCAATCCCCACACGAAGCGCTTGCTACCTACCTCGGTAAAAACGCACCACATTGGCTACAGGCAAAGCTAGATCTCTCACATATTCGAATCTTTGGATGTAAAGCTTATGTACGCATTACTAAGCTACCTAGATTAGCTAAGCTAGCACCACGTGCTACTATTAGCTATCTAGTAGGTTATGAAGCCTATAACATCTAGCGTATCTAGATACCTACCAAACGACGTGTAATTCGTGCACGAGACGTCCAATTCAACGAGGAAGAATCCTACAATCCTTCGCTACCCAATCAACGCATCCAAATCTATAAGGAGACCAATCTATCTCAGCAGATTGATACTCTTGACGACGAAGAGATCAATCAAATCCTCGAAGACATAGATATCCCATTCAACCAACCGGTGCAGCAAGATCTCGGGGGTGGAAGTAGTAGTAGTCCTACTAGGCTACGGCAGCATCCGCGAAAATCCAAATCCGCTCCGCATCCGCACCGCAGATTACGGATATACATACGATTCTGACATCTAACTATCCGCGCGGATTGGATACGGATTTAGGCTTCGAAAAGTTAGATATCCTCGGATATCCAGCGGATTCGAAAACAGTACAAACATGCCAAGTCTCGTGATCTGATTTAGCATATATATCTTATGCAGATTTTAAGGTAATATTCTGTACTACTAGTGTTCTATATTATCGAATTAATTATATATTCTCGATACAGAAATTTCTTTTAATAATATATCGAATCAGTTCACTATTTAACTACTTTATTTAGCGTATTATATAGTTATACTATAGCTTACCTATCTCGAATCCGTCTAGTAGCCGTGGCTTCTTCCGAATCCTTCCTATCCGGGTCTATGTACTATTAAATATAGATTCCTCTAGTAGGACACTATTATCTAGATCTAAACTATCTATAGGCCGCTTTAAGGAGTGAGAGATCGCTAGTTTATCTATATTATTATCGGAATCCTCCTCTTATAACTCCTCTTAGTATCCTTCCTCTTTATTATCACTAATCGGTTCTATAAACTTAAGTAATAGTAGAGATAGACGGCTTTAATTAAGCATAGTAGCTTCGCTAGATAAGAGATACTCCTTAATTATCTCGATCTCTACCTATTTTAGCTCAAATTTAGATAAAAAGTAATAGAGCATCAGACCCTTAATTATATCTAGCTTTAGCTACCCACGACGATAATAGTAGATATCACGAGTATAATTAAATAAACGCTCTACTCCTACTCTACTAGTAGGGATTAAGAGAATATCTTATACTATTCTAGTAAGCACTAAGAATTCCTACTTATATTCTTTCTAGTAAATACGTAGATTTCCCTTACTAAGCCCTAATCTTTTTATTAGAAGATATAGTAGATATCGAATAAATAAGAGGCTCACCTTTCGATAGATATCGCGTAACCTTATCTTACCGGCTATTAAATTCATTAGTAGGGAGTGTAGTTTATTACGAGTCGCAAAGCATTATAAGCTCTTCGTCCTCTATATTATCTATCTTCTCTAAGGTATCTAGTTAGTATACTTCCCTCTAAGCTTATTTCTAATAAGTTATAAACTTATTTCGGAATACGTCTTAATACTACTTCATAAAATCAATATCACTATCTCTCTAGTCCTTATTATCGAAGTATCGTAGCTTCTTTAATAGGTATAGAATTATTACTAATACATAGGTTATACTATATATACTATTATCGGTTCTACTATAATATTTAGAGAGCTTTTTCTATACTAGCTAAAGTGCCCGGAGCATACTTTTCTTCTAGTATATACGCTTATATCTTAACTTCTTCTTAGCCTCTTTAAGGTAGATAAAGAGTCTATTATAGATACTAAAGATATAGTATACTATATAGTCCCTAGTCTTTAATAAGACGTTAGTAAAGTCAAAGAAAGGCTTAGTAATCAATAGAAGATACTTAACCTAGCGCTACTCCTTATCGTTAAGCTTAAACTAAGTATATTAATTTATAGTATAATACTCATTAAAGCAAGATTAAAGCTTTCGCGTACGGGTAAGTATTAAGAAAGTTAAGTTCTAGCGTATACGCACATCTTAAATTAGAATAATTTTTGGCTCCTTTTTCTATAGCCCTAGGAATACCTCACGGCGCTATAGGCTTATATTAATAAATACTATAAACCCTCGGACCTATAGTAGTAATTAGTTAAATTTATTAAAAGTAAACTAGAATTAAAGAAACCTTTTTAAGGGTATTTACGATTAAACGAGTAGGACACTTCGTCTAGAGATCTAAGTTTTACTTACTTAACCACTCCGATTCGGCTTCATCATTCTCGGGTACAGCCTTTAGCTTTCTAAGGAGCTCTTATAGGCAGAGCTAAATCATATAAGTAATATAGGGTACTCGAAAGATTAAGGTACTAAATTAAAGAAGGGACTAGACTATCTCCTAGATACCATTCATTATAGTATTATTATTTATAGTATTATTAGTCGTGATTAATAATACTCGGTCGGTAATCTTATAGTATTATAGAATCTAAATAATAGTATTACTTAGATTACTACTAGTGTGTAATCTATAGAGATACTTAAACCTAAGTAGTACTTTATAATAGTTCTAATCTTAATCAATAAAATAACTAGTAATTACTATAAATACTTATTTAAATAGAGATATCTAACAATTAAGCGTAATTAAGATTCGGTATCTATCTAGGAGTTTATTAAGTATCTCTCGCTATTAGACTTCCACCGATATATCAAAAAGTCGTCGTATTATCCGGGTAGAGGGAATATTAAGCTTTAAGTCTATAATCCGAGCGTAATCAAGAAGACTTCTGAAACTAGTATACTCGGTAATCCGAAATAAAAGCCGGGTAGTAGTTATAAACTCAAGAATCTTTTATTAAAAGGTAGACTAATCGAATAAGGAAGATATCTACGTATACGGCTAAAGATATATAAAGTATAAGTTAGGCTTCCTAGCTTAGAGGGTCTAGCTCGGAGGGGGAAACAGACTATATTCTATATAATTTAATTAATACCTTACTTCTTTAAGCCCGAAGGCTTCGTATATATAATACTTTTTATATATATCTTCATCGGAGACGTCCCTACCCGACGATAACTTAGATAAATAAGAATAGCCTAGTAGCGCCTATATATCACCTTAGGCTCACTAGTCTTCTTATATACGACTTAATTAAAGCAGTCCTAAATATTAGATATCTTTTACTTACTTTACTATTAGATTAACTTCTGTAAGTCCTCCTTCTCACCGAATTCGGTCTTTAGCCACTACTTAATAAAACTCTTCCGGGAACCCTCTATATTAGGGTCGGTACGGTTATCGTTAAAGAGGATCCAATACTTTTAGAGATACTTACCGACACGACGAAGTGATTCCGGTACGCGAATAGTATAACGGTATCGTATAGGCGAGAGAGAGTAATCAGAAAAGGAGATTATAGTACGACCTACTTAGCTTAGGAAGTTAAGGAAGTTATCCGATTATAGGATATCTAAATCAATAAAAGACTTAGTATATTAAGATACTAGGTATTAACTATCTAAGTACTAGGATCGAGGTATAGTGGTAAGGTAAGGGAGGAAGTAAGGTATAGAGTATAGCTAGAGAAATAGAAAGATAGAATTCGAATACTTACTAAAGTAACTAGGCTAGAAAGATTAGGGGGATACCTTACTATAAGGTATAGCTTACGCGACCGTAACTTAGACGCGACTCGAATATAAAATAACGATATATCATATTCCCTACCTAAGTATAGGGAATAACTAATAAGATAGTCTAGTAGGATATTCTATCTAGGTTAATAATTAGATTAGAAGATTTAGGTTAATACTAAATTAGATATTTATCGGATGATTATTAATATCCGCCGGATATCTAAGAAATATCTAACTAATATCTACATAAGAGCGATTTCAAAATCACTAAGTCTAATAATTCTAATAAATATACTATATTTTCACTATATCTTTATATTATAATCTACTAATTAAATTATATTTCCTGATTCTTTAAGCTTTAGAGATTTTATATTCAGGAAGATTTAGTTAGATTATAGCAAATTAAGCGGGTTCATCTTTAATAGTCTTCTTTTATAGCATCCACACTAACTTTCATACACTAAAATATATATTTTCTATAGTAACTAAAATAACGGAAACCATCACTTTAATAAATCAAATTACCACTACCTACTATATCCCTAAGGAATTAAACTATTACATATAGCTAAGAGAATAGAATCTCTTCTTAAATTCATTCATATTTCATATTATTTCAAGTGGTAGATCATATATAAGATAGTATTTTTACCACAAAGGACTATAACATACTAATACATCTGTAATGTGATAAAAAAAGAGTGCTTGGTTAGCTATATAAGGGTCACATAAAGTGCCAGAATAAGTTAAATTAGCGAATTTTATGCAAGTGCGGATAATTATTAGATACGGATGTCGAAGTGGTATCCCACATCCGCAATCTGCGGATACGGATATGACTTTAACATCTAACGGAGCGGATTTGCCGTAGCCTAAGTCCTACTATCAATATCGATCATGCCACACCCATACTAACAGACGAAATCCTCGGAGATCAACCAATCACACCGCCGCTTAAACCGAAATCAGACGAATCGATGAGTTCTAGCTAATCAGAACCAGAGGATATAGTCCCTTTCGTCTTAATTGATAACACAAACTTCGACCCTTCTGGTTATGAACTTCTTAATATACCAACTAAACGCCCACGATCAGATTCCGATTCAACCGACGACGAAAGTGAGAGAAAACGCCCTCACTTATCCCTCACAACCTATTTCCAAGCTTTCTCAACAGACCAATCTCATCAACAAAAGGTCTTAATATCAACGATTCCACCACCACCATCTGGTTACCACTAGTTGACCAGCCATCCTTTTGAAAGCTAATTCCGATAAGCTATGCGAATCGAATTCAATAAGCTTCTAGATATGCACGCATTCGAACCTATTAACAAAGATCTCGTCAAATACACATACTAATCGAATTGCAAAGATCTTAACCAATCAGATTGCCCACGCCACCAGCTTATACTAATGAGATGGGTCTTTGCCTATAAATATGACGAATCAGGATACCTCACACGCTTCAAAGCGCGTCTATGCGTACGCGGAGACACACAGAAACCTGACGACTAGGATCCACGCACTAGCACGCTTGCTGCTAGGACCTTTCGCACGCTTATAGCGATCATCACGTATTTTGACCTCGAGACCTTTTAGATGGATGCTATTAACGCTTTCCTAAATAGCGATCTTAAAGAAGAAGTATACTACCAGTACCCACTAGGTTTAGGACGAAAAACTAAGGTCCTTCGCCTATATAAGGCAGTATATAGTCTTCGAATCGCTAGTAAACGATGGGAAGACGACGTGAAAGAGATACTTCTCTCACTAGGCTTCAAATCTTCTCCTGAAGATCCTGCACTTTACACCGATAATCGCATAGTTATTATGGTGTTTGTTGACGACTTCCTAGCTGCCTACTACCGAAGTGAGAGCTTACACGCTCGCCAGATAAAGTAACTTCTCTCACAACGCTTTAAGATGAAGGACTGTGGCGAACTCACATAATTCATCGGTATTCGAATCATCAGAAACCGATAATAGCGAAAGACCTGGCTAAACCAATCAGCTTACATTAAAAAGATCGCTGCTAAATTCAATCTCCTAGGCAGGAAACCGCCTAATACACCACTAGTTAGCAATCAACGTCTTAATCCGATCACTAGTTAAATTAACTAATCAACCGTTAAACTATACTAGCAGAAGTGTGGTTCGACCCTTTTCCCTGCTGTATGGACTAGACCAGACACCGCTTTTGCCAATCAGCTACTAGCTAAATCTCTCACACGCTACGATGAGAAGCACCTAGCTGCTGTTGACTACCTGATTTCCTACCTATACGGGACGAAAGACCTAGCTATCTATTTTAGTGGTAGCTAATCAGATTGCCAGATCTTCACTGCTTCGTCCGATGCGAGTTTCGCCGATAATCCTAATAAAAAGTCATCAGAAGGTTTCATCTTCTCTTTATTCGGTGGTCTAATCGAGTGGAAATCTCGCAGGCAGAAGACGATTACTATATCCACTACAGAAGCTGAATTGCTAGCTGTCTCACACGTAGCTAAGTAGCTATACTAGGTTAAACGCCTATTCGAATTCATCGAATTCAACACTGAACAGCAAGAAGTGTTAAATTGCGATAATAAGTAAACCGTTGACCTATTAAATCGCGAGAAATCAATCTTTTAGACTAAACTTCGTCACGTGGATATCAACCGCCTATAGATTCGTCAAGAGGTGTAGGCAAAGCGCCTATCTATCCAATGGGTCAAAACCACCGATATACCCGCAGACGGTCTTACTAAGTGCCTACCTAGGCAGAAGCATGTCGAATTTATCAAACAACTAGGTATAGAGATACTACCTCCTAGCTAGTCATTCTCTTTTCTCTCATTCAGTTCTCACTTTGCTCTTATTCTTATCACACATCGAGAACTGAGGGGGTATATCAATATATGGATGTTATGGGTAGGCTTCATCAGAGCCCACGTCGGCCCAGGCCCAACCCAGCCTAACCCACGAATAGGTTAGGCTTTAGGCCGAGTTCTATAGCCTATAGTAGGCCATAGGCCGAGACCTTTAGCCCATAATAGGCTCTGGGCCCCTAATTAGGCCACAAACAATATAAATATACCTAGGTTCCGTGACTACATAATTTATGTAATTTCTAGCTATAATATTAAGTATTTCCTTTATATCTCGTCTTTCGATTAGAAAATTTTGAAGTAATTAAGATTAAGATTATAGCTTAAATTCAAAATAAATAGATTAGAATAATTATCATAAATCAATAATACTTAAACGTATTATCCTCTCGACTCTTACGCTTCCGTCCTAAAGCCCGTAGCTAAGTGTTATTCTCTAGTAGTTCGGGCTTAGTATAGTCCTAGATAGTAGAAGAAGGAGCCACTTCTGCCACTATCTTATTATTCAATTTATTATTTAACTCCTTAGTATTACTAATTAGTTCTACTTCAATCTCATCAATCCTTTCGTCCTTCTCTTCCTTTACTACTTTAATCTCTTCACGAGAGAAGAATTTCTCTAGCCGATAAGACTCCTTCTCTTCAAGATTAAATCTTAAAGTATAAAGGAATATTATCAGCTCTTAAATTATTTCGGATTTTATCCTTCCTTATCGATAATAATAGATATCTCGAGTAGTATTAAACAGTCGTTTAATACTAATACCGGTTACTAGAACTAAGAGAATATCTCGCGTAAGAGCTATAATCGCCGGAAAGCGGCACTAATTTTCTCTCTAGAACGTAAGAGACCTAATATTAATTATATCTATTAATCGGTTAATACTATTTAAATCAGAATTACGTTAAAATATACCACTATTAAGATATTATATCATTTTATTAGCGGCTACCTTTAGCTACTTTTTACTTCTATTTGATATCTTATCAAGTTTTGAACTTAGTCTAACTACTACTTTAGAGACTTATAAGCCTTAAGTATTAGAAAGACGATCTTAGTATAGAGCGAGAGCTTCTTAAAAGGATTTACGATAAGTATCGCGCTACTTTTAATCCTAATTATTAGTTAGAAAGAACTAAAACTTATTAATAGGCGTAAGCATTATATTAACCGTATAGATATACCCTCGAACGTTATTAGTCTAAGAGTAATACTTATCTAACTTTAATCGACTAGCTTTAAGTACGTTAAGTATATATTTTTTCTATAGGACACGCTTTCGTCGGAGCTACTTTATTAACTATTTAAGATATTTAAAGAGTTTATTATAGACTCTAAATATATAATACGTAGTAATATCTCGAGTCTTTAAAAGCTAAGTAGTATAGTTAAAGAATAGCTTAGTGATATAAAGAAGATAGTCGACCTAACGCTACTCTTTATTATTAAGTAATAGATCCTCACGATTATACTCAACGCAGAAGGGTATAAAGATAGTATAGAGCCGCTTTACATAACGAAGCATTAGGAATATTAAATTCCACCGAGTCTTTATATCCTAGATCGGTATAAGCTTTATATCCTTAGTCTAGAGATTACTAAATATCTCCCGACGCTAAGAACTTACGTTCACGTAGATCGTAAGATAGCGGATCTTATTTAATATATAGAAGATCTCTCGCTTCCGGTACTATATATTTACCTAGGCTATTAAAGACTATTACTCTATCTACTTTATCTTAGCTATATCGTTTAATAGGACTACCTTAATATAACTAAGAAGCTAGTTAAGGCTAAGCTAGATAATATATATAAGGCACGGAATCCGGATAATAAGAACACTATCCGATAAAGCTTACTAGAGCGAATTAACTAATATCTTATTATTTAATACGTTATCCGTAGTTAAACTAAATACCCGGTCTTCAATCCTATACTTCACGAGGGTTTCTATAAGAACACTACTTAAGTTTATACTAGTATACGCCCTATAAATAGGTTTAAAATTAAGTAGTACCTCCCGATAGACCTAATCCGTATCGATAAAATAGCTAGTGATCGCTATAAAAGCCTAAGAAAATAGGGATATCTAGTAGTTAAGCGCGATAGATAGCTTATAACTAGTAGGAAGTATCCGAAGAATACGCTATTACCGATCCTTAACTAAGCTTTCTAGCCGACGATAGATTATTATTACGGAGGGGATTATAGGAGGAGATAGGGCAGAGCGAGCTATATTAATTAGGCTCTTAAACGTTAGGTACTTAATAAGATAAAATAGAAGCCGATTTATAGATAGAAACGATAAGATCTCTTCTTCCTAGCCTTCTTGCGAAAAAGTAGCTTCGGTCGGAGTATTATCCTAAAGTAGCTAAAGTGGATTAGTAAAGTAATAATAATAATTATACGTAGTATAACCTATACCCTTCTTAAGAAATTCAGTAATTTCTGCGTTATATCCTTTATTAGCTTTTTAACACTTAGCGGTCGTGAGATATCTTTTTATCGTTAATAAGCTATAACGCTAGTCCTTCCCGTCGGCTCCTTTACTTAGAGAATAAGGATACTTAAGAATCTAGCCGTAGCGTTTATATATAACCTTTAGCGAGCTATCTATTCTATATACTACTTAGTGAAAGTAGCTCTAAATATCTAACTAATAACTTAAATCCTAATATATCTTACTCTTTCTTCCATAGTCAGTCTGTAACTACTAGTCCACCTAATCACTATAAGTTATTTCGTTATAAAGAATAAATACCTTTCTTCGGTTAGGACTAACGCGTATAAGAGAAGATAGAACTATAAGTAGGATAACTAGACGGAGGAATTCAGAGTTAAAGGTATTAAATATTTACTAACTACTAGATAGACCTAGAGTAACTAGTCGATTTAAAGGCGTAAGATAAGCAAGAGTATCTATATCTCCGTTATAAAGCGACGACGCAAAGTTAGATTACTAGCTTTCTGATATAGTAGTAGAAAGATGAGGATTTAAAATAAGGTATTAGGAAGGGAAAGGGTAGGAAAGGAGAAAGGGGATATATATAGTACTAAGGCTAGGAGACGTATTAACTTAGTGGTAAATACCGAGTTTAGGAAACAAGTACTTCTAATATATTAAGTTAATCGCTAATTAGTTAGATATCACGGGTTTAAGTAGACCGAGCTCCTTAAAGCCCACTACAGCCCACCAGAGCCCACGAAAGCCTATTAATAGCCCACCAGAGCCCATAAGAGCCTATTAATAGCCTACCAGAGCCCATAAGAGCCTATAATTAGCCTATTCCTAGCCTATTCCTATCTCCAGAATCTTCAAAATTTTCATTTCACCCTAAGAGTAAAAGCAGCCGACAATTTTCCACTCATCTTATTACCCTCTTTCGATATAAATTTATGATTAAAGAAGAGACTTATTTAATTTAGAATATAACGCTTTATATAGTAATAGTATAGATTATATATCCACGGAATCTAGAATAAGAATAGTCGCTAGTATAATTTATTTAGTGTTAAAGATACACTTCGCTAAAAATATATCTCTAGAAGTTTAGACCCCATAACTCTTACGACTATCTAAACACTACCATAATAAGTAATAGTATTAATATTAGGTAGTAGTTAATTAGTAACGGGTTGCTTTAGGTTAATCATACAAATATTAACCTATATTTCATTCATTTTAGAGAAGGAAGTCTTGTTCATAAGAGTAAGAACTAGAACAGCGAAAAATGACAGTATTTTATTCTGATAATTCAGCAGTTTTATAAACGCCAAGACCTTGATTTTATGCAAAAATGGGCTTCTATGGGCCCCTAATAGGGGCCCATCGTGGGCTAGGGGTTAGGTCTTAGGCTGGTGGTTAGGGCCTAAGCCTACCGTGGGTTGGGCCATGGGCCGAAGTCCTCGGCCCATTCGTGGGCCCTGATGAAGCCTAGTTGTGGGGTCACATGATGAAGGACCCACTCATATAACCCCTCTCTACATATAGATCTTCTTCTATAAAGATCTAACAGATTGATCCTCAACGATCTCGCATATGATTGCCTACCTAAGCAAGAGACTCTCAACACTCTGATTCTGTTGATTTATCATGTGATCCTTTGCTATGTTTCTTGTGATATAAATACTGCTATGTTTCCTAGTTAAATTGAATCAAGTTTATCACCCTTTGTGATCTCTCTTCTAGATCAGTGGTACTCTTCCACAATCGTGGTACTTCTCCTTCATAGAAGTGCGCACGACCGATAGACTCATAACCGTGTATTCAGACACTATTGAGTATTTACCAATCTTTATGCATACTATCATCTTGTGTGTATAACCACGACTTTATGGTCACCGCCTAGAGTCCGACAGGATGCCTATACTTAGTACAGAACTAATCGAACGCGGATTAGAGCCGTTTAGCCCGTCGAAGTATTAAGAAGGTCGAATTCTAGCGTGTTCGGATATCTTAAATCGGTACTAACTTCGGTTATACGGTCTAAATGTTTAAAAAGGACTCCCGTCGCTAAGGGCTTACGCTAATGAAAACCACGAGGTCTCGGATCTAAAAGAATAGTTAGGAGATAATATAAAGGAAGTGGTTAGTTTAATAGCTGAATAAATCTAAACCTTACGTAGTGTATTTACGATATCTCGCTTTTAGGCCTTTCGATAAGCCGACTAGGCTTATTCTTCCGACTAAATTATCTCTCTCGTCTTATTCTTTAGGTTAGCCTTTATATAACTAAATAGCTACTTTAAACTTAGCTAGATAACGTGGGTAATATAGGGAATACGAATAATAGTAGCTCTATAATATATATCTAAGGATTATAGTAAATCCTAGATAGTTAATATTATTTTGCTATTATTAGATGTATTATTAGTCGTAATAGTAATTACCCGTTCCGGTATCTAGTGCTACTAGAGTAAATTAAATAGTATAGAGCTAAGATTAACGCTAGTATACCTCTTATATAGAGGTTTAAATCTAAGCAGAATTTCCCGATAGTTCTAGTCTTTATTAATAAAATAGCTAGTGATAGCTATAAACGCCTACTAAAAGGGAGAAGTCTAGTAATCTAGCGCGAGTAAGAGCTTTGCCTTTAGCGGAAGCTTCGTAAGAAGATAGGTCTATCTCTCCTTTATAATCTCTCGTATACGACGCTAGATACTTTTAGCGTAGGGAAAGGTAAGAAGCGAGGATACTAACTACGTTATACGAAGAAGCTTTTAAAATTACGGATACTTAATTATTTAAAAGGGAAGGCGAAGAGTGATAATTATACTAATAATCTCTTACTACTAAGCTTCCTCGGTAAAAGAGGATATAACTAGAGAGGAATCTCGAGCCTTATAGAAAAGGTAGTTAGCTCCCTTATAGCCTATTATCTTATTTTAGTAGGAGTTAATACCGCTTACTCTATTAACCGCTATATACTTAGCTATTTAACTACTTATCTTCCTTTCCGGCATAACTCTATTTTTAAATACCTTCGAAGCGCGTTTATTCTATTTAAGGTATAGTTTAGATAATCATAAATCTTTTTATATCTCTTATATATTACCTTTAGCTCTCCTATAATATAATAGGCTACTTACTCGAAATAGACCTATATTGTTACAGCCAGGCGAGAGGACTAGGTCCAAGTCGGTGCATTCAACGAAGGCAACTAAATCTAGAGGGGAAAAGAAGAAGAAGATCTATCTACTACGTGGAAGCCCCTTTTATTATAGGCTAAAGGAACCTTCCGTCAAACACTAAACACGAGTTAACCAGTTCTCTACTCGACCCTTCACTCCAGTCCGTCCTCGATCGTCACATTACCCCCTCCTTTAGAAGGACCTAGCCCTCCAGGTCACGTACGTTCGAGTATACATTCTGAATCGACTAATCAGAGGCTTTTATTATCGTCTAGGTGATCCGGTTCAAATCGATCGTTCAAAGCAGCCTCAATCCAAGCATTCAACCGCTTCGGTGGTCCTAGTAAATCTAGGTATTTCGCGTGGAAGGCTAACAGCTTCTCTGGTACGTTTTTAAAATCCCCTACCGGGTACCACTCATCGTCATCCTCGTTACCAACCCATTTTGCTTTATACTAAAGCTTTCGGTAGTGCAGGCGAACTGCCATAATCTCCTCCACTTCCCACTCCGTTTCGTCGTTCACAATCTCC